TTATGGATAATTTCCGGCAGCTTTGTGCTTTCAATTTTTAAGTACAGCAAAGATTGCGCTTTTCATGCAGGCCCTAGATGAAAGCTCTCGAATGAATTCCGAGACTTTTGCTTTTATTAAGCTCCAAAGTGGAATAAAAATTTGAAATTTAAATCGTTACTTGCACAGGCAGTTAAGAGATTCGTAGAGTTTCACTTGAAAATTCAACGAGAAAATGGCGCTCTGTTTGCCGCAAATACCAATATTGCTTCATCGATTATTGAGGCAAAGGTCGGCTCGACCGTGTTTACATAATATTTATTTGTTGATTTTGTGAGTTGACAAGAGATCAAGCGGGTCAAAAATGAAACTTTTTCGTCGGGTTGGGCCGAGTTGATTTGGTCGGTATTTGCACGACAAACGTTGCTGTAATTGAGGAGGCTTGGGGTGGACGAAAGGGAAAGCGTGGAGAGGGGTTTCGGAGGGTTGTGAGGCTGAGTAAAAAATTGGTCGGTTATTTCGCCCCTGGCTGATTTTTCAGTTCGTCTATTTTTCATTTTTTTTGTTTCTCCGGGTTTTAGATTTGCAATTTTTCGAGTTTTCAGGTTTAAATTTTGCAGTTTTTCAATTTCACAACTTTTATTGTTTATATTTTGCAAAGTTTACAATTTATAATTTTTCGTTTCTTCAATTTTTCTACTTTTCGTTTATTCGAATTGAAATTTCTCGGGTTTTCTGTTTTTAATTTATCAATTCTTTGATCCTTAAATCTCTCATTTCTTCAAATTTTCGCTTTGCGATTTTTTTCAATTTCAATTTTTTCAAATTTTCGTTTCTTCAATTTCTGTTTTTTCAAATTTTAGATTTTGCAATATTTTGATTTAAAATTTCTCGAGTTTTTAGTTTTTAATTTTCCGAATGTTTGATTCTTTAGTTTTTCATTTCTTGAAATATTCATCGAATTTTGCGTTTACATATTTTATTTTCTTTATTTTTTGATTTTTATAATTTTAGTTTTTCCAATTTTTCGTTTCATCAAATTTGGTTTATTAAAATTTTCGAAATTTTCGGTATTCCAACCTTTGGGATATTTCAGTCTTCAGATTTTGCAATTTTACGATCAGTAGTTTTATGAAGTTTTCACTTTTTGATTTTTCAATTTTTCGTTTCGGTTTCTTCTATTTTTCAAATGTTCTGATTTTATGTATTTTTTATTCAATTTTTATGAAATTTTTAAATTGCTGAAATTCCAGTTTTTCGCTTTGCGGTTTTTTGGTTTCCAACGTTTCAATTTTTCGATTCTTGGACTTTTTAGTATTTCATTTTTTCAGTTTTAGACTTTTCAATTGCATGATTTTCGTTTTTTCAATTTTTCGATTTGCGATTTTACAAATTTTCACTTTTTGGTTTTTCAATTTTTAGATTTTGCAATTTTTTAATTTAAAATTTCTCGAGTTTGCATTTTTATTTTTCAGATTTTCGATTCTCTAATTTTTCATTTCTTTACATTTTCATCTAATTTTTGATTTCGATGCTTCATTTTCTTTATTTCTCGATTTTTTAATGTTCCCATTTTTAATTTTTTGTTTGCTCAGTTTTACGACATGTAACTCTTCATTTTAAAATTTTTTAAATTTTCGATTTTCCAACTTTCGGATGTTTCAAGTTTTAGATTTTGCAATTTTTCGATTTACATTTTCACGAGTTTTCAATTTTTAATTTTTCAATTTGCAGTTTTTCGTTGTTTTTTCTCATTTTTCAATTTTTCGGCTTTTCAAATTCCGACTTTATAATTTTTCTTTTATTCAATGTGGAATTTTTCAATTTTTGGTTTCTTCAGTTTTTTGATTTACAATTTTTTTAGTTTTCATTTTAAAGATACGTAATATTTTATAACGTTTTACTTTTCCCAATTTCTCGTTTTTTTAATTTTTCGATATACTTTTCAATTTTTCAATTTTTTGATTTTTTAATTTTCCGTGCCTTCATGGCTTCAATTTTTCGATTAGCAATTTTTTGTATTCGTTATTTTCATTATTTTTTCAATTTTTCGAATTTTCAATGGTGTGATTTCATAATTTTTCTTTTTTTTAACGTGAAAAGTTTCAATTTTTCGGTTTTTCAATTTTTGATTTGCAACATTTCGGTTTTCGATTTTTGATTTTTCAAATTTTGGATTTTTTAATTTTTCATGCCTTCAATTTTTCGATTAGTAATTTTTTGTTTCGGTTATTTTGTTTATTTATTCAATTTTTTGAGATCTCAATGTTGTGATTTAGTGAATTTTGTTTATTTTTAATGTGAACATTTTCAAATTTTGGATTTTTCAATTTCTCGATTTGCAATTTTTCGGTTTTCGAATTCTGATTTTTCAATTTTTGTATTTTTAAAATTTTGGGTTTTTCAATTTTAGATTTTTCAATTTTTCGATTTTTCAGTTTTTCGTGTTTTCAATTAGCAGTTTTTTGTATCGGTTATTTTCTTTATTTTTACTATTTTTTGATTTGCAAATTTCGGTTTTCGATTTTTGATTTTTCAAATTTTGGATTTTTTAATTTTCTGTGCCCTCAAATTTTCGATTAGAAATTTTCTGTTTCGGTTTTCTTTATTTTTTCAATTTTTCGATATTTCAATGTGATTTCATGAATTTTGTTTATTTTTAATGTGAAAATGCAACATTATGGTTTTCGATTTTTGATTTTTCAAATTTTGGATTTTTTAATTTTTCATGCCTTCAATTTTTCGATTAGTAATTTTTTGTTTCGGTTATTTTGTTTATTTATTCAATTTTTCGAGATCTCAATGTTGTGATTTTTTGTTCCTTTTTAATGTGAATATTTTCAAATTTTGGATTTTTCAATTTCTCAATTTGCAATTTTTCGGTTTTCGAGTTTTGATTTTTCAAATTTTGGATTTTTAATTTTTCATGCCTTTTCGATTAGCAATTTTTTGTTTCGATTATTTTGTTTATTTTTTCAATTTCTCGAGATCTCATTGTTGTGATTTAATTTTTGTTCCTTTTTCATGTGAAAATTTTCAAATTTTGGATTTTTCAGTTTCTCGATTTGCAATTTTTCGGTTTTCGAGTTCTAATTTTCAATTTTTGTTTTTTTTAAGTTTTGTTTTTTCAATTTTTCATGTCTTCTATTTTTCGATTTTTCAATGTTGGGATTTCATTGTTTTTCTTCTGTTTTGATGTAAAAATTTTAAATTTTTCGATTTTTGAATTTTTGAATTGCAACATTTCGGTTTTCAAATTTTGGATTTTTTATTTTCCATGCCTTCAGTTTTTCGATTACAATTTTTTGTTTGGGTTATTGTGTTTATTTTTTAAGTTTTTCGTTATCATAATATTGTGATTTAATGAATTTTGTTCCTTTTTAGTGTGAACATTTTCAAATTTGGGATTTTTCAATTCTTGATTTGCAATGTTTCGGTTTTCAAGTTCTGATTTTTCAATTCTTGTATTTTTAAAATTTTGGTTTTTCAATTCTTCATGTCTTCAGTTTTTCGATTACAATTTTTTGTTTGGGTTATTGTGTTTATTTTTTAAATTTTTCGTTATCTTAATATTGTGATTTAATGAATTTTGTTCCTTTTTAGTTGGGTTTTCAAGTTCTGATTTTTCAATTCTTGTATTTTTAAAATTTTGGTTTTTCAATTCTTCATGTCTTCCAATTTTCAATTTTTCAATGTTGTGTTTTAATAATTTTTCTTTTTTTTAATGTGAAAATTTTCAATTTTTTGATTTGCCAATTTCGGTTTTTGATTTTTGATTTTTCAAATTTTGGATTTTTGAGTTTTTCATGCCTTCAATTTTTCGATTAGCAATTTTTTGTTTGGGTATTTTTTTTATTTTTTCAATTTTTCGAGATCTCAATGTTGTGATTTAGTGAATTTTGTTTATTTTTAATGTGAACATTTTCAAATTTTGGATTTTTCAATTTCTTGATTTGCAATTTTTCGGTTTTCGATTTCTGATTTTTCAATTTTTGTATTTTTAAAATTTTGGCTTTTTCAATTTCTCATGTCTTCAATTTTTCGATTAGCAATTTTTTGCATCGGTTATTTTCTTCATTTTTAAAATTTTTTGGTTTTTAATTTTTAGTTTTTTCAATTTTAAATTTTCCAATTTCACGATTTTTGAGTTTTTCATTTCTTCAATTTCAATTCATTTTTGCAATTTTTATAGTTTTTACTTGAATAATAATTTATAAAAATTTTCATTTTTTCGAGTTTACGATTTTAGAATTTTAAAGCTTTTTCATTTATTCGACCTTTCAATTATTCCATTTTTAGTTTTTCAATTTTTCGATTCTTCAAGTTTTCATTTCTTCAAATTTTCAATTTGTAATTTTTATTTCGTTTTCTTCATTTTTATAATTTTCCAATTTTTCAATGTTCCTATTTTATAATTTTTTATTTTTTTCAGTTTCAATTTTTTCAATTTGTCGTTTCTTCAGTTATTTGATTTGCAGTTATTCATTTTTTTACGATTAAAAAAATCGAAATATTTGGAAATCCGGAGATTGAAATATTACAATAATTAAAGCTGAAAAAACGAAAAATTATGAAACCAAAACACTGAAAAATGGAAAAATTGAAAAATGAACTAAAAATATGTCGAAGATAAATAAATCCAGATTTTTCGAAAAATTATACGTCATCAATTTTTTGGGAGGGGATAAACGAATATATTTTGATTAACGGTCTGGATCTGGATGCCTATTCTTTCCTAATATACACACAAAGTTACATAACAATCGGTCTTTCGGTTTAAAAGATTATCTGTCTAATAAAAATCGTACACGGACGTGGACAGACGGCAGACGGCAGGCAGACAGGTGTCATGAAACGTCAAAAAAACATAAAACCGATGAACTCGATTCAACACTTCCTTAGCTCCCTCTCAGGAAGAAAAAACATCCCCTTTCAACTTGAAATCACCTCAAATCCTCCGCTTCTTTTAACCGCAAAATTAAAAGCTGCCACAAAAAGGTATACAAAAAGCTGACACTCACTTTGCAAGCAATCGGCGTTGAGCAGATCCTTACACTTCTCGTGGCACTTGACCCCGCACTCTGTGCACCTCACCCCCTGCCTGGCGATGCCCCACAGCAGGCCCTCGCACTCGTAGCAGTACGTGGGAGACGTCGCCGTCCACGGCACGAAGTTATGCGGGGTGGTGCTGCTGATCGGGTAGATGAGCGCCTGCAGAGTCTTCTTATACACGTGCATTTTCTGACAAACACCAAAACCTTGTTAGCTCATTTTCGAACAACAAACCCATGGAAATCGATCGCGGTATTGTCGCCGGCCAGAGGGAGATAAAAATAGGTCGATGGTGGATTAATGCTTGTTTTGCAGGATGGGTTGGTTTCTTTGAAAGGGAAACGGTAATTATGTTTGAGGGGATTGCGGATGGATTTTCCAACGTGATTTTGCTGTAATGCGGTTAGTTGAATTGGAATGTAAATAAAAATGGGGTTTTAAATGCGGTTGGTTAGAGGGTTTTGGTATTCGAGTGGGTGGGTTGGCGGGACTAGGTACATTAATTTATTAAAAGGGTCATGGATTGTTGTTGAAATAACAAAATAATTTGGTTTTGTTGATGCGTGTGGAATGGTCTTAATCGCATAAGCAGTATTTTGTTGTTACATAAATAAAATTGTTACGAAACGTCAATAATAATAATAATAATTAGTCGTTTTGTTTACCTTGGCGATGGACTCTCATCAGGGTATTTATTATTTATTTTAATAGTGATTACGTAACGCAGATAACAAAGTCATAAAGGGTGCTTGAAACAAATTCGTTGTCAATCATCGTCGGTTTGTCTTCTGGTTGGAGGAGCGTGTTTATTGAATGTTGAAAAACGGCTGCCGCATTAGTAACTCGAACATCCACCACTAGGCGTTTTTCCATCACGGAGGAGCTGGACGTGAGTAGAGAACAGTCGGCGGCTATGCAAGAGTTGGAGCGAGATGCACGTGCCCGACGAGGCCTTCCACAGGAGTTTGAATCAAGCGTACGAGAAGAAGAACGAACTGAAGAAGCTAGAACGAATTAGACAGACTGAGTAGCAAACTACAACAGGACTCGGATAACATCAGACAGTTGCAGCGGAAACTTTTAGAGTCGCCTATGACCATCTCGCAGGAAGGCGAGACCAAAGCTTTGGAAGACAACTCGAAGACGTTGGACGAGCACTTGAGACACATTTGTAATGAGTCCGAGAGCTGGAGCTTCTCGAGTAGCTCGAGAGATCAAGACGAGCTCATCCTGCTGGCAAAATCCGAACTTCCTAATTCCATCCCGTATTCAACTAGACCTAGCTCAAGATTATCTGTGACTGATAGCGTTATAGGAACCGATACCGAAGTAGCCGAAGTTTTAGCCGGTGGAATCCGAACACCAACATCGCCTAGACGTCGTTCTGAAGTGAGCAGTTGTAGCGCTCCTTTCACCACCGTGACCGGGAGGCTCGCCTACAGCGCCGCCGTGCAACATGTAGACGCCGCGGCGGCCGCCAACTCCAAAAACCCCTTCTACTGCGGCAACTCCTTGATCGCAGCATCCTACGAAACAGTTCCTTGCTCCACCCCCAACATCTTCAACATCAAATCCGAACGAGCCCCCTCTCCTTCGTTATCGGTTTGCAGCGTGAGACCGCGCCAAGACGGTTACATCGCTGCCGGCACAACGAATTCCGATGAAGTACAAAGTAAAGGGGCGTCGCCTAGTCCGCCGCCGCCTGCTCCTCTAGACGTATGCGACGCGTTCTTGATGCCTAATAGTACAGCCCCTGTACCACACACAGGATCTAGCCCAGTCTTCCTCGGTACAGACGCGGTACCGTCATCGTCAATTAACCTAGAACCGAGAAGGTCGCCAAAAACATCTCCCAAGAGAAACAAGTCGAACATAGTAGCTGCAAAGTCCGACTCGGGCTTGTCATCCATGAGTGGCTGGTCCAGTCTGGAAAAATCACCAGGTTCTCCTAAAAACCTCACGTCGAAAATCGTTGCCTTAAACTACTTCGCTGATGTTGGGGCGAGACAGGCGAGCAACCGCCCGGCGCCTCCGGCGCCGGTCCAACCCGGCGTACGACCGTAATTTGAATCCAACACCGATTCCATCATCACCCCACACACCAATATCTTGCCCGGGGGACATCATCTTTCGGCCTTTACCAGGGTCAAGTCTCCGTGTAGCTTGGAGACGTCAGAAGGGTACGGGACGTTCGTGCCCGCACCGGCTCCTGCGTCCGACATCAACGTGAGCCCCCGCAGGAAAAAGCACCACGCTACGAAAGCCAACTCGTTCGGAGAGTTTATGTACCGCAACGACCAACCTGCGATTTATTCGGTGGCGGGTAGTAATAGGGAAACGTACACGTCGGTCTACACCAGCAACAGCGCAGATTACATCAACCAAACTATCAACTATCCCGATTTGATTGAGCCTTACGAAAACAACGAATTCCACAATACACAACGGCATTTTACATACAATTCGCTTACAACGACCCAGGCCCCGACCGACTCACCCGGTTCTGGAAGAAGGAGGTCTCTGTCGAGGATGTACTCCACGAGTAACGGCCACGACGGAGTCGCCAATCATGAAGGTTACAAGACGGCGATGTACAGAACCATGTTTCCGAGTGGAAATATCACGGACGCCCTTTCCTACTACCCGACATCATCAAGGTACGAAAGTGGGGTCGTAAATCTACCGCAAACAGACTACAACGATCCTTCGGCGTGGCTGAGTTGTCCTCCGGATGGACACTACCAAGACAGTGCGAGCCCGAGTAGCTCAATGAGGTCGACCGAAACGTCGGACTACAATCAGAGTCCTTACCTGGATCAAAGGAGACAACCCCAGCGTCACCAACAACCCATATACGAAAACCAGACGCAAATCGACCAGCACAACAGGCAGTGGAACCAAAGACAAGAAATACCATACCTAGAGCTGGACCTGAGGAACAGGAACGTTCCGGAATACATAGTACAGCAGCAGCAACACGGAGACAATAAATACTTTGACGCTAGCAACGTTATAATCACGCAATCAGGGTACATTACTATAAACTCAGAAACCGTTGATACTCACCGTGACGAAAAAATGAAAAGAGTAAAAAGGGGAACACGCTACGATCCGCGATGAGTTCAGTGAGTCATTGGTTGCCCGACCTACACCTAACCAAGCGACACCGGTCTTACTCCCTCCCGTCAGGCTTAAGACGAGAAGACTTAGAAAAGAGTAAAAGCACCCACGCCAAGAGCAACGTCGCCCCTCGTCGGAAAAAAAAGAACGCTATTGTGTCCACGGTTTCTGGAACACTACAAAAAGCCAAACGAAAAACCCATTTCCAACAATCCACGCAATTTTTATCCGACCCAGAACAGTCCGAAAACGAATGGGTCCTACACCGAGCGAGCTCCGTCGTCTCCGAAGACGACCGAAGCGAAGACAGCTACAGCCTCTTCGAAAACCAACCCGACCGCGATTTATTCGCTAAAGTTTCCAAGTCTAAAACCAGAAACAACAGTCAACAAGAAGCCGCAAACCTGAGGAAGATCAATTACAACTTCAATTCGAACCAGTGAAGAAGTCTCCACAGACCAGCGACGCGAGTCCCCGGCAAGAGCAAGATTTCAACGGCGACGCGCTCGCTGCCGAAGAAGAAATTTCAGGAAAAAGTACGGGCAGCGGCTCCAGTACTATTTTTCCCACCATGGGCGACACCAAAAGAAGTTCGGCGTCGTCAGAAAAAAGCGACGAAACCGTCATCACCGAAAATAAAATGGTAGGTAAATGGTAAGAGCCTTGGGTAAATACAGACAACAAAAGCAGACATCGTCGTGTTCAGACGACCAATTGTCCGAGCAAGGTGTGGTGATCGAAGAAATCGCCAGTGAAGAACACCAAGAAATTGAAGAGAGCAAACCAGAAAAACTGGTCGAACAAGCATCCACTGAAAGTCAGTATAGCAACACGAGCAAAGTCGTCTCCAACGGTGAACTGACTCTCGAAGGAAGTCCCTCGGCGTTCAGTTTACGGACACAAATCCACAAATACCTGCCACGGCACCAACAAAGCTTGGAGTTTCCTGGCCACAAGGGCGAAGATGATGATAGCAAAAGTACGCACTCTTGGCGCAGTACTTCTCGGGCGACAAAGCACCGAAGACAGTATTGACAGCGAAGACGAATGGTACTGCTACGAGCTCCGTAAACTCGAAGAGATGGAGCGCCAGTCGCAACTGGAAGCCGAAATGGGTGCCACTTTACGCGAAGAACCCGAACTGGAAGAGTTCTACGAACCGTACGAAGAAGTCAAAGAAAAAATGTCATTCGTTTTAAGAGAACTCCGAATGAAAGCCAAAGTCGTCGAAGGGGTCCGAGATGAAAAAGACAATAACATCCACGTTATCCAGTCGGCGAAGCACCGAGAAAACAACAACCACAACTCGTACGAAGTGGAAGAAGCCCACGCTTTGTTCCACAAAATCAATGAATTTAAAGAAGAACCCGAGGAAGAAGAACCATCCCGTGAGCCGTCCCCTCCACCTAAAGACGAAGAGCACTCGTCAGGCGAAACCTCGGGTCCTGACAGCCCGCACATCAGTGTCGACGAGGAAGAAGAAGACGTCAACGAAGAGTTCGCCAGGTGTCACGTACAAATGGAAGAGAAACCGCTCGAAGAGGCACCGATCGAAGAAGAAGAACCGAAACCCGAGAAGACCCCCGAGTCCCCTGAAATTAAAATAGACGCCGACACCACCAAACCCGAATTAGCTAAAGAAGCGTCCGCTCAAATGGGTAGTAAATTGAAACTACTCAAAGCTTTGAAAAAACGTAAAGCGGAAGAGAAGAGTAACCAAGTGAAAGTTCCTGAAACGGCGACTGAAAAGGATAAAGTGTCATTATTCTTGGGAGAACTCCGAATTTTTGAGTAAAACATTCCACATTTTATTTAGAAAAAAATTCATATGATGTAAGTGGACAGAATTCGTCATTTAGTCACGAATTATGTGCACCTTATTATACCGGGTGTCTGGAAAATGGCGGATTAACTCTTCAGTAAGTTATGTACACCTTATTAGTCGTTACTCGTTGTGCATTATTATTAAGAAAACAAGCTGCTAAGTCAAGACTGATTTTGGCAAATCAGATCCCTCTAAGAAAATAGAAGGCGGATGGGTGGAGCTAGTTCCTGCTAAAATCAGTTTTATCTTAGCAGCTACTAGTACCCCACCCATCCTCCCTATCTTTTCTTACAAGGTATTTCATTTGCCAAAATCGGTCTTACTTTAGAAGGTGCTACCCCCGCCCACCCACCCTCTCTTTTCTTGGAAGGTATGTCATTTGCCAAAATCAGTTTTATGTTAGCAGTTGCTAGCTAGGAAAAACCGATTTTGGCAAATGACGTACCCTCTCAGAAAAGAGAGGGTGGGTGGGCGGGGCTAGTACCTGCTAGGATAAGACTGATTTTGGCAAATGAGATCTCTTTAAGAAAAGAGAGGGCGGATGGGTGGGTCTATAACCTGTTAACACTGATTTTGGCAAATGACATACCCTCTAAGAAAAGAGAGGGAGGGTGGGTGGGACTAGTACCTTCTAAAATAAGACTGATTTTGGCAAATGAGATCTCTCTAAGAAAAGAGACGGCGGACGGGTGGGGCTAGAACCTGTTAACACTGATTTTGGCAAATGACATACCCTCTAAGAAAAGAGGGAGGGTGGATGGGAATAGTACCTCCTAAAATAAGACTGATTTTGGCAAATGAGATTTCTTCAAGAAAATAGAGGGTAGTACCTGTAAAATCAGTGCTATCTTAGCAGCTACTAACTAGGATAAGATTGATTTTGGCAAATGGCATACCTTCTAAGAAAAGAGGGGGTGGGTGGGCAGGGCTAGTACCTGCTAGGATAAGATTGATTTTGGGAAATGAGATCTCTCCAAGAAAATAGAGGGCGGATGGGCCGGGCTAGTACCTGCTAAAATCAGTTTTGTCTTAGCAGCTACTAGTACCCCACTCACCCACCCTCTCTTTTCTTACAAGGTATCTCATTTGCCAAAATCAGTCTTACTATACAAGGTGGTATCCCCGCCCACCCACCCTCTCTTTTCTTGGAAGGTTTGTCATTTGCCAAAATCAGTTTTATCTTAGCAGCTACTAGCTAGGATAAAACTGATTTTGGCAAATAACATACTCTCTCAGAGAAGAGAGGGTGGGTGGGCGGGGCTAGTACTTGCTAAGATAAGATTGATTTTGGCAAATGAGGTCTGTCTAAGAAAAGGAAAGGAGGGTGGGTGGGGCTATTACCTTCTAAAATGAGACTGATTTTGGCAAATGAGATCTCTCTAAGAAAATAGAGGGCGGGTGGGCGGAGTTACTACTTGCTAAAATCAGTTTTATGTTAGCAGCTATTAGTAAGAAATTTAATTAAATTGTTATAATAAAAGACACTAGAGGCTCCAAAGGACTTTCAAATTCTTTCCGAACAGGAATATCTAGAAGCTCAAGATTATTTTAAATTAAAAAAAAAACTGAGTCCCAAAGTTAACTCAAAAACAGCTCACGGCAGAATTTTCCAAAAATAAAACACCAAAGTTCCCCAAAATTGTTTTAAATAATTTACAAAAAAAGTCTCCATGGGTTCCCAAAATAATACACCGTGGGTACCCAAACACTGTGGCACTCAAGACTGTTTTAGATTCGTAAAAAGTAAAACACTATTAGCTCAAAAGATTTTTTAATGTTCATCCAGCAACAAAACACCAGGGGACCTAAAATAAAATTAACTGCGAACATGTTAAACGTAGGGTTTTGAAAACTTTGACAATTTTTGATAGGTCAAAAATTTTATCAAATTGTTATTACAAAAACAATACCACCATATCTTTGTACATTCTAACTGAAATGGTAATTAAACATGGTCATGGGTGAGAGAAACATTAACTAAGTTGATGTGATAATGGTAGTCCACCATTTTCCAGACACCCGGTATATTATTGTATTATATTATATTATTTGAATTGTGGTTGACGACATACAGTGAATGACAAAATCAATATCACGCTTCGCCTAGTATAGATTTTGTTTCACAGACAATATACTGCTTATTACTTAAGATATTCACATGCGATAACCCCGTATCTTTTTATGGCCAATCCAGATGCAGCAACAACGTCGCCTCTATGACTGTTTCCTCGGTTTTTTAGCGTCAGTTGTACAAGAAAATTGAAGCATTTAATCTTCGAGAGTAAATTTTCTTTAATCCCGGCGCCTCCACCATTTCCCTCCTTCTTTAAAAATTTCCACAGTTGGAATAATCTCCCCCAGCAAACTATCCTCACGTTTAATAGATTAAAAACGCTTTTAACTTAAAAACTTAACCCCGAAGGTTCGAATTTCCTTCGCCAAACACAAACGGAACGTCAATATTTGCATAATTTCTTGGAGCGATCTTTATAGGCGAAATCTATACGATAATTTTACGTTAATTAAAGTCAAACATGGCCGCAGCGTTAATTGATTCCGCAAAGTTACCAGCTCCAGGATTAACATTATAAATCATTGTGCGAATTTTTCTAAATTACCGTGATCGCCGCCGCCTAAATAAAGTTATGAATTTAATTTAGTGCGAAAGTGGCACGTAATAGCGCCTTGTTGGTCAATAAACCCCGTTTGAAATCATAGAGGCGACTTTTATGCTCCATAAATTCGCCTAGAATACATCTGGGAAGCTCCCGCTGACAATAATACCGAATGTGCCCCCAATAAATTATTTTGTGTAAGAAAAATAGATAATGGCTCATAAGCAAGCCATAAATTCTAATGAAACTTACCAGTTCTTCGTCGTTGAGGGTGGCTCGGGGAACGGCTGACGTCAGTCCGGCGTTCCTCTTGGCCGCCATGGTCTGCACAAACCGACCAAGTTAGTTAATGTTGATTTAATTCGTTTAGCGAAAAGCGTTGTTGCTTTTAACCCTTATCTACGCATTAGCAAAAATTAGAAAAAATCGTGTCGAACTAGCACTTAAAAAAACATTCTCGAGGTGGAGAAATTCAAGCGCCAATATTGGTTTACGCTCGGGACCGATGCTAGCGCTATTTCTATTTTTTCTACTTACCGAGTATTGATGTTTGATGTTTACATGCTGTACGGAAGCGACATGCAATTTAGTGCTTTAAACATGCTTTTAGCGATAAGAGGTTGTTTGTACGTCGCGTAATGGACCGAATTCTTATAAAAAATGAATCTCGTAAAAACGTATGACATAATTTTGACATTTTTGCGGTTATGTACAGATTTGTGTGCTCATCTGAACACCCCTCGCACTTGCAACTTGGATCGTTTCCGAGTTTAACGACTTTTAAAGTAGACAAACATCGAAGGGAAAGTCAAATGCATGCCGAGTTTTAGTAGATTTAGTGACTGTAAAATCCAACGTGAGTTCAAGCTTAATCTACGAGTGCAGCTATAGCAACGTGAAAAACTACTTTATAAAGATATGGAAGGAAGAGTAGACCAGTACCTTGAGCACCTGGAGAAGTGAAGCGGCGTAGGGCAAACCATTAAACAGAGAACAAACAACACAGACACATTAGTAATGGTTCTAGGAAAGAGTACACATTACAGTCAACATTAACGGGGAGAAAGGGCCAAGGATACATTAAACAGTTATAGGGACTTGCACTCTGATAACTGGACACTTCTCGTTTTTTTAATCACGTCACCTTAAAAGTTTGCGTGGTAAACACTATTTCAGTTTTGTATTACAATAGATATAATAACTGAAAAACAACGAAATAGAACTCCTCTACGTGATTCCGGTTATCGTAATTTATGGCTTCTCTGGATTATCTTGGCATGAGTAGTCGGAGCAAATAGAAAAAGCTATTTTTCAAGCATGATATATCGACATTAGTTGAGGGTATGTTAAAGGCTTTCATATTTTATTGGCGCTGGTAATTGCAGACCATTACACAAATGATACGATGTCCATAAAATTATTATTTCGATATGGGTTGCATTATTATAAATCACGTCATTTGGGAAATCGGCCTGATTTATCTGAAATATTGTATAATTTGGTTTTTATTTCCCGAGCGTAGGCGTTAGATTTGAAATCTTGCAAAAGTTTATGGTAAATCGTTACTCAAAATTTATTCGTTTATCCCCTACCCAAAAAGGTAATGACGTTGGCTCAAAATTTTGCGTGATAAATTGTGTCTGAAATATGCAAAATATTCATAGTTATTTTAAAATTTCAAAATCGAAAATATTGAAAATACCAATTTTCCGTTTTTCTTTCCTTCAATTTTGCAATTTTTTGATGTCGCCATGTTTCGTTTTTTCATTTTCTCTATTTTTTCAATTTTTTGGTTTCACAATTTTATTTTCGTCATTTTCTCATTTTAGACTTTTTCGTTGTTTCAGTTTTGATTTTTGAACGTTACAATTTTGCAATTTGTTGTATTTTTTTATTCGAAAAGCGGAAAAATCGAAAAACTGAAAAAGTGCAAAAATTTAAAATCGAAAAACTAAAAAATCGGAAAAATTGAAAAATCGAAAATGTGAAAAATCACAATTTTTCGTTTTTCTTTTCTTTTATTTTAAAATTTTTTGATATTTTAATGTTTTATTTTTTCATTTTCTCTAATTTTTCAATTCTTCCAGTTTTCAATGTTTGGGTTTCATTATTTTTCGTTTTGTCGACATTTTTTAAAATTTTTCGATTCCCTGACCTCCAAATTTTCAATTTTTCGATTTTGCAATTTTTCATTTCCCAATTTTTTAATTTTTAATTTTACGATTTTTTCAAGTTCTCGATTATTTTGATTTTCCATTTCCCAGGTTTCTTAATTTTCATTTTCTCGATTCCTTGTATCAATTTTTAGTGTTTTCACTTCTTTTGTTTTTCAGTGTTTCTTTTGATTTTATAATTTTTTCTTTATTCAGTTTTTCAAAGTTTCACTCTGTGATTTCTCGATTCCTGGATTTTCCAATTTTTCAATTTATGGGTTTCCAATTATCCGATTTTCGGATTTTTTAGTTTTCAATACATATTTAGTTTTTTCGATTTTGCTCTTTTTCAGTTTTTAAGTTTCTCTATTTTTAATCTACAGATTTTTCAATTTTTCGTTTGGTCAATTTTTCAAGTTCTTGATTTCCAGTATTTCGATTTTCCAGTTTTCCTTTTATACTTTTTCGTTGTTTTGTTTTTGATTTTTGAATGTTACAGGTTTTCAATGTTTTATTTTTTTTTATTCGAAAAAGTGAAAAAGTGCAAAAATTAAAAAAGTCGAAAAACCAAAAAATCGGAAAAATTTGAAAAATCGAAGAACAGAAAGTACGAATTTTTCCTTTTTTGCGTTTGCTTCGATTTTATCGGTTTTTTGATATCACAATTTTTCGTCTTTTCATTTAGTTTACTTTTTAATTTTGCCGTTTTTCAATGTTTGGTATAATAATTTTTTGTTTTTCAAGGTTAATTTTTCAAATTTCCGGACTTCTAAAATTTTCGATTTTTCTTATCTTCAGTTTTTCGATTTTAGAATTTTTGCATTTCCAATTTATCTATTTTCCGATTTCTGTATTTTCAACATTTCGTCTTTTTTTGTTTTTGCACATTTTCGATTTATAAGTTTCTTAATTTTTAATCTTTCGTTTATTAATTTTTCGTTTTTTCAATTTTTCAAGTTTTTTATTTTCAACTTTTAAATTTTTCAAGTTTCCAATTTAAACTTTTCCATTTTTGGATTCGAAAAGTTGAAAAATCGAAAAATTGGAAAACCCAAAAATTGGAAAGTCGAAAAATTATAGAATCGTCAAATAAAGTTGAAAAACTAATATTGACAGATGGAAAAATTGAAACATGGTACACCGACAAATTGTAAAAATTGAAAATTTCAAAATCGAAAAAGTGGAAAATTACAATTTTTCGTTTTTCTTTTCTTTTGCGCCAACTTTACAATTTTTTGATATCGCAATGTTCCGTTTTTTCATTTTCTCTATTTTTTCAATTTTTCGGTTTCATAATTTTTCGTTTTTCAACTTCCGATATTTAGATTTTTCGGTTTTCATTTTAGAATTTTTCGTTGCTTTATTTTTGATTTTTGAATGTTACAGTTTTTTAATTTTTTTATTTGAAAAGTTAAAAAATCGAAAAAGTGAAAATGCGCAGAATTTAAAAGTCAGTAAACCAAAAAATCGGAAAAAATTGAAAAATCGAAGAACTGAAATTGCGAATTTTTCGGATTTTCCTTTTTCTTCGATTTTATGGTTTTTGTTTTAACATTTTGTTTACCTTTTCAATTTTGCCATATTTCAATGTTCGGTATCATAATTTTTGTTTTTTTTAAGTTAAATTTTTGAAATCTTCAATTTCTCGTCTTCCAAATTTTTCAGTTTTTCCTTTCTTCAATTTTTGGATTTGCAATTTTTCCATATATCGCAATTTTCAATTTTTAGATTTTTCAAAGTTTTCATTTTACACTTTTTCCTTTTTTCAATTTTTTTTAATACCAATAAAGTATTGATTTTTTTCAGTTTGAAAAGTTGAAAAATCCAAAAATTTAAAAAGTGAACAATCTAAAAACTGAAAAAACGAAAAATGAGGAAGATCACAAGTTTTCGTTTTTCTTTCTTTTACTTCAATTTTGCAATTTTTTGATATAGCAATGTTTCGTTTTTTTCGTTTTCTCTATTTTTTTCAATATTTCGGTTTCATAATTTTTCCTTTTGTCAACTTCAATTTTTTTTAGTTTTCCAATTTCTCGACTTCCAAATTTTCAATTTTTCGATTTTGCAAGTTTTCTATATTTCAATTTTTCACTTTTTAATTTCCCAAATTTTTTATTTTTAATTTTTCAATTTTTTCAAGTTCTCAAGTTCTATTTTCCATTTTTACGATTTTTAATTTCCATTTTCTCGATTTTTGTTTCACTTCCTTTATTTTTTCAATGTTTCTTTTGATTTTATGATTTCTCCTTTATCCAATTTTTCAAAATTTTTCATTTTTTTAATTTTCAATATTTCGACTTTAAAATACATATTTAATTTTTTCGATTTTGGTTTTTTAGGAGTAGTTTTTAAGTTTCTCTATTTTTAGTCTATCGATTTTTCAATTTTTCGTTCCGTGAATTTTTGAAAATTATCATTTCCAATATTTAGATTTTTCAGTTTTCATTTTAGATTTTTCATTCGAAAAATTGACAAAGTACAAAAATTGAAAGTCGAAAAACCAAAAAATCCGAAAAATTGAAAAATCGAAAAACTGAAAAAACCAAAAATATCAAAATCGCAAATGTGGAAAATCACAAGTTTTCGTTTTTCTTTTCTTCTATTTCAGTTTTATAATTTTTTGATACTCTCCATTTTTTCGATTTTTCGGTTTCATAATTTTTCGTTTATTCGATTTCAATTTTTTAATTTTTCAATTCCTGGACATCCAAATTTTCAATTTTTCAATTTTGCAAATTTGCGATATTACAATTTTTAATTTTTTTTAAATCCCAATTTTTTAATTTTTTAATTTTTCAATTTTTTCAAGTTTTCCGTTTTTATTTGTTTTTTTTTTATTTTCTCGATTTTATGTCACAATTTTTCATTTTTTAATTTCCTTTATATTTTTAATATCTCTTTTTGGATTATATTTTTCGGTCTGCAATTTTTCGATATCATAATTTTTCAGTTCCTCGATTTTCGAATTTATGGATTGAAAAACTAAAAAAAATAAAATCCAAAACGAAAAATTGAAGAAATGCAAAATTGACAAATCGAAAAAATAAAGAAAATGAAAAGCAGAAACGAAAATTGCAAATCAAGAATTTAAGGCCATGAAAAATTTAAAAATCCCAAAATTTTGAAAACTCGTAAAACTGCAATTCGAGAAATTGCAAAATGAATAAATTGAAACATCTCAAAGCTGTAAAATCGAAAATAATATCGTAAAATTTTAGAGAAAAAAAAATGAAAAATAGAAGATTTGTAAAACGAAAATTTGAAGAAATGAAATATTAAAGAATCGAAAAACTTGAAAAATTAAAAACTCGAAAAACTTAAATTTAAAAACTGAAAAATTAAGAAACGGGTAAATTGAAAAAACGAAAAATTGAAATTGGAAAAACAAAAAATTATATTAAAATCGAAACAATGGAAAATCGAGTAATTGAAGAAATTAAAAAAAATTAAATAAAATTTGAAAACTCCAAAACTTGCAATCGAAAAACTACATTGCATAATTCAAGTAAAAAATTTGCGGGAGTGTAATTTTTCTAAATGGAAATATTTTATCGTAACGAAAATGGAAATTATCTCAGTGTACGTACTCATGCTCACAGGAGTCTTAAACAACCACAACTGAATCCCCGCATTGTTCCAGTTATCAGCGTACACATCCATGTCGGTTTATGACCAGGATCCGGATGATGCTGAGGTGGGTACTTTACAAAGGACATCAAATACTTGTCTAATTAAAGGCATAATACTGGGATTGTCGGATTTGATTACGCATGATTTGCGGTTAAACCGCTTATACAAACACGCGTGAAACATTTTGAAACCGCCACACATGCAAAATCATATCGGATTATTACAGTATTTACTCGCGTTCATCGCGCACAGAAAAACAGAAATTTGTTTCAGATTTGCTCTTCAACAAGTCGACATTCTCGTAACGTGGTACTTCCACATCGAGACCCATTTACATGCCACTTCACTTTCCTCGAACAAAAATAAAGGACGTTTACGTGCTGATTCTAAAAATAAGAGACAGTTTTAAAAGACGGATGTCGAATAAAACTGCGCCTCGAAGTCAATTTACGTTCGAGGAGTATTCGATAATAATAATAACAATAACGGTGATTTATAATCGGAGATATCCTGATGTGATTTTGCATGAATAAGCTCGCTCTTCCTTGTTATTATAAATTGCGAGCTTTATATTGAACCGTCCTTTTTGAGGTGATTGATTAAATGATGAAGAGTGCGAAGTACGTTACCAGTTCGGATACGAGGGGTATGGACTTCCGTCTGGGTCGGATGTCCGGCATGCTGTCGATGTTGCTGTAGAATGGATTATCCCCAGGGTGTCTGTCAACAACAAATATAGATCAGAAAATTCAGCGACAAAAAATTGGGGTAAATTTGCTAAGTGAGCCGCTTGCGTAATATATGAGAAAAGTGCGCATTTTAGACTAAAAAAAAAACAAAATAGTATTATTATTATTTTCAATTTCCATTTTACACTAAATAAAATAAGCCAGTGGAATGGAGAAAGAAAGTGGGTGGGCTAAATTTAGCTTTTTTCTGGTTTTAAGCAGTCGCCCCGCCCACCCACCCCTTCTTCGTTCCACTGACTACTCTTAATATTGTTCAGTCCTATCTTAGCTAGTTTTAGCCCCGCCCACCCACCCTTTTTTTCCTTAGAGAATATGTCATTTACCAAAATCAATCTTTTCTTGGCAAGTACTAGCCCCACCCACCCGCCCTCTATTTTCTTAGAAGGTGTGTCGTTTGCCACAATCAGTCTTATGTTAGTAGGTACTAGCCCCGCCCACGTACGCTGTTTTCGTTCTAACAATTTTATTTCTGTTCAATTTAGATCCATTTTTCATTCGAACTAGACAAAATGAATCACTGAAATAGAAGCGGGGTGGGTGGGCGGGGTGAATTATCTGTTCTTTGTAAAGTGAGAATGGGAACTAATACAACGTAGGCTGTTAAAAAAAACGTTAATCGTAATTTTTTTGTTATATTTGCTATAACATTTATTTCTTATTTCTAAGTTTGACTTTTTCCTACAGTTTTTTTATAATTTTTTGATGCGGCAATGTTTCTTTGTTTCACTTTTTCTATTTTTTTCTCGATTTTTCGGTTTCACAACTCTTGGTTTTTTCCGCTTAAATTTTTTTAATTTTTCAATTTGTCGACTTCCAGATTTTCTTTTTCCAATTTTACGATTTTTCGATATTTCAATTTTTCATTTTTTAATTTCCCAATTTTTTAATTTTTAATTTTTCAATTTCTTCAAGTTCTCGATTTTTATTTTCCATTTTCCAGATTTTTTCATTTTGATTTTCTCGATTTTTTTTCAGAATTTTTCGTTTTTTAACTTCCTTTATTTTTTCAATGTTTCTTTTGATTTCAAATTTTCAATCTCTGATTTTTTAATTCCCCTATTTTCTAATTTTTTAATTTCTCAATTTTGCAATTTATGGGTTTCCAGTTATCCGATTTTCCGATTTTCTAGTTTTCCAATATTTCGACTACAATACATATTTAATTTTTTCGATTTTGCTCTTTTTCAGTTCTTAAGTTTCTCAATTTTCAATCTGTCCATTTTTAAATTTTTCGTTTCGTCAATTTTCCAATTTCTTCATTTCCAATATTTAGATTTTTCAGTTGTCATTTTAGACTTTTCCGTTGTTTAATTTTTGATTTTTGAAAGTTACAATTTTGTAATTTTTTAATTTTTTTATTCGAAAAGTTGAAAAAACGAAGAACTAAAAAAGTGGAAAAATATGAAAGTCAAAAAACTGAAAAATCGGAAAAAATGGTAAAATCGAAAAAATGAAAATACGAATTTTTCGCTTTTCATATTTCCTCGAATTTACTGTTCATTAATATCACAATTTTTCGTCTTTTCATTTTATTTATTTTTCCAGTTGTGCCATTTTTCAATGTTCAGTTTCATAATTTTTCGTTTTTCAAGTTTAATTTTTTCAAATTTTCAATTTCTCGACTTCCAAATTTTTCAATTTTTCGTTTCTTGATCTGTATATTTTTCATTTTCCCGTTTTTTTTTAAGTTTCATTTTCCCATTTTATATCACAATTTTTCCTTTATTTTAATTCCTCGACTTTCCAATTTTGAAATTTTTCGATTTTGTCAGTGAAATGGAGAAAGAAAGTGGGTGTCGCTAAATTTAGCTTTTTTCTTGTTTTAGGCAGTGGCCCCGCCCACCCACCCCTTCTTCATTCCAGTGACTACTCTTAATATTGTTCAGTTCTATCTTAGCAAGTTTTGGCCCCGCCCACCACCCTTTTTTTTTCTTAGAGGAAATGTCATCTACCAAAATCAATCTTTTCTTAAAAAGTACTAGCCCCACCCACCCGCCCTCTATTTTCTTAGGTTTGTCATTTGCCATAATCAGTCTTATCTTAGCAAGTACTAGCCCCGCCCCCGTGCGCTGTTCTCATTCTAACGATTTTATCTCTCTTCAATTTAGATCCATCTTTCATTCGGTCTAGACAAAATGAATCACTGAAACGGAGGCGGGGTGGGTGGGCGTGGCGAATTATCTGTTCCTTGTAAAGTGAAAATTGGAACTAATAGAACGTAGGCTGTTAAAACAAACGTTAATCGTCATTTTTTTGTTATTTTTCCTATAACATTTATTTCTTATTTCTGAAGAACAAAATGAGAGAACGAGTGGGTGGGCGGGGCTAAGTTTGACTTTTTCCTCCAGTTTTTTATAATTTTTTGATATCGGAATGTTTCCTTGTTTTATTTTGTCTATTTTTTTCTCGGTTTTTCGGTTTCACAACTTTTGTTTTTTTCCGCTTAAATTTTTTTGAATTTTTCAATTTGTCGACTTCCAGATTTTCTTTTTGCAATTTTGCGATTTTTCGATATTTCAATTTTTAATTTTTCAATTTCATCAAGTTCTCGATTTTTATTTTCCATTTTCCAGATTTTTTAATTTTGATTTTCTCGATTTTTTTATCATAATTTTTCGTTTTTTAACTTCTTTTATTTTTTCAATATTTCTTTTGATTTTATAATTATTTATTTATCGAGTTTTTCAAATTTGCAATATTTGATTTTTCAGTTCCTCTATTTTCTAATTTTTTAATTTCTCAATTTTGCAATTTATGGGTTTCCAGTTATCCGATTTTTCGATTTTCTAGTTGTCCAATATTTTGACTACAATACATATTTAATTTTTTCGATTTTCCTCTTTTTCAGTTCTTAAGTTTCTCTATTTTCAATCTGTCCATTTTTAAATTTTTCGTTTCGTCAATTTACCAATTTCTTCAATTCCAGTATTTAGATTTTTCAGTTTTCATTTTAGACTTTCCCGTTGTTTAGTTTTTGATTTTTGAAAGTTACAATTTTGTAATTTTGTATTTTTTTTTTTATTCGAAAAGTTGAAAAAACGAAAAACTGAAAAAGTGGAAAACTATGAAAGTCGAAAAACTGAAAAATCGGAAAAAATGGTAAAATCAAAAAAATGAAAATACGAATTTTTCGTTTTTCATATTTCTTCGAATTTACTGTTCATTAATATCACAATTTTTCGTCTTTTCATTTTATTTCCTTTTCCAATTGTGCCATTTTTCAATGTTCGGTTTCATAATTTTTCGTTTTTCAAGTTAAATTTTTTCAAATTTTCAATTTCTCGATTTCCAAATTTTTCAATTTTTCGTTTCTCGATTTTTATTTTCCATTTTCCAGATTTTTTCAATGTGATTTTCTCGATTTTTTATTACAATTTTTCGTTTTTTAACTTCCTTTATTTTTTCAATGTTTCTTTTGATTTTATAATTATTTATTTATGGAGTTTTTCAAATTTGCAATATTTGATTTTTCAGTTCCTCTATTTTCTAATTTTTTAATTTCTCAATTTTGCAATTTATGGGTTTCCAGTTATCCGATTTTTCGATTTTCTAGTTGTCCAATATTTTGACTACAATACATATTTAATTTTTTCGATTTTGCTCTTTTTCAGTTCTCTGTTTCTCTATTTTCATTATGCCCATTTTTAGATTTTTCGTTTCGTCAATTTTCCAATTTCTTCATTTCCAATATTTAGATTTTTCAGTTTTCATTTTAGACTTTTCCGTTGTGTAATTTTTGATTTTTGAAAGTTACAATTTTGTAATTTTTATTTTTTTTTATTAGAAAAGTTGAAAAAACGAAAAACTGAAAAAGTGGAAAAATATGAAAGTCGAAAAACTAAAAAATCGAATAAATTTAAAAAATCTAAAAACTGAAAATACGAATTTTTCGTTTTTTCATATTTCTTCGAATTTACTGTTCATTAATATCACAAGTTTTCGTCGTTTCATTTTATTTACTTTTCCAATTGTGCCATTTTTGAATGTTCGGTTTCATAATTTTTCGTTTTTCAAGTTTAATTTTTTCAAATTTTCAATTTCTAGACTTCCAAATTTTCAATTTTTCGTTTCTTGATCTTTATTTTCCATTTTCCCGATTTTTTAAGTTTCATTTTCTCGATTTTATTTCACAATTTTTCCTTTATTCACTTCCTTTATTTTAAGTCCTCGACTTTCCAATTTTGAAATTTTTCGATTTTGTCAGTGAAATGGAGAAAGAAAGTGGGTGGTGCTAAATTTAGCTTTTTTCTGGTTTTAAGCAGTAGATCCGCCCACCCACGCCTTCTTCGTTCCACTGACTACTCTTAATATTGTTGAGTCCTATCTTAGCAAGTTTTGGCCCCGCCCACCCACCCTCTATTTTCTTAGAAGGTTTGTCGTTTGCCATGATCAGTGTTATCTTAGCAAGTACCAGGCCCGCCCACGTACGCTGTTCTCATTCTGACGATTTTATCTCTCTTCAATTTAGATCCACCTTTCATTCGGACTAGACAAAATGAATCACTGAAATGGAGGCGGGGTTGGTGGGCGGGGCGAATTATCTGTTCCTTGTAAAGTGAAAATTGGAACTAATAGAACGGAGGCTGTTAAAAAAAACGTTAATCGTAATTTGTTTGTTATATTTCCTATAACATTTATTTCTTATCTCTGAAGAACAAAATGAGAGAACGAGTGGGTGGGCGGGGCTAAGTTTGCCTTTTTCCTACAGTTTTTTATAATTTTTTGATATCGCAATGTTTCCTTGTTTCATTTTTTCTATTTTTTTCTCGATTTTTCGGTTTCACAACTTTCGGTTGTCTCCGCTTAAATTTTTTTAATCTTTCAATTTGTCGGCTTCCAGATTTTCATTTTTTCAATTTAGCAATTCTTCGATATTTCAATTCTTCATTTTTTAATTTCTTCAAGTTCTCGATTTTTATTTTTCATTTTCCAGATTTTAAAATTTTGATTTTCTCGATTTTTGATCACAAT